GTGCAGATGTCTTAACCACTCGACCACCGATACATCTTGAAAAAAGCTTGCGTCAGTTGAACACCTGATAAAGAAATTATGATTAATGAAAATAAATGTGGAGCTCAAGTGCAATCTTGTGGCTTGACCTGGCTGCTTTCAATTGAGTGTATTGTGGTAAAGATTAGCTTATCTTTGATGTACAGACTATTATAGTTTCTTCCAGAATGACAAGCTAGCCTCATTCAAGATGGAATGATTTCAAATTTGTCCCTTTTGATACTCAGATTTGCTTTTGTTAATTGGAAGGACTTTGCAGATAAACAAATGCAGCTGCTGTTGGTTTTTGTACTTATGTGAGTGTGTGATGTGCAGTTCCATTCCCAGCTGTCAGTAATCATGTTTATATCTTGATACAGGCTTTGATACTGAGGTCAGCCATGCTGAAGAACAACATTATAGTCAAGGTAGGCTCACAATAAGATTTGCAATTGTGCAGAATTTCAACCGATGGATTGCTATTGGTATCTCACTTGAGGGAACTTAGTTGTAAACCTGCGTTCTTCTTTTCCATGCTGTGCATGAGTATCGTACATTGTGGAATTGCATTGTGGGCCCTGTGCATTTCAAACGCTGTACTTTTGGTGGTTTAGAAACAAATGAAAAATGTGGCTGCACCCAATTTACTTGGCCACAGCCAGAAAGTTGCTGTCCAGTGGCTGAATCCATTCCCCCATAGATATGTGTGCTGTTGTCAGCCGTAATCAAGTCATTCGGACATGGCTTACAAAAACTGGGTTGCATGAACTCTGCCCCAAGCATGCGCATGAAGTAGGACACATGTAAAATGTTCTTCGTTGGCCCTGAGATCATGTCGTAAATTATGATTAGTAGATATACCTACATGTATGGAACTGTGCAGGAATAGTAGATGATGCTGTGTAGTCTCCTCACCAGAATGAGGAATGTCCACACTTATTTGCATGTATGCCACGAAGTGCCTGCAACCAGATTGTAGCCCTCTCTTGTGCGTTCGCACTATGCGTAAGGTAAAGTTCTGTAGGTAAGCACTGAGTTCACACAGGTTGTGCTGCCAGACTGTACAGTCATTTGCAAAAGTTTGGGACCGAACATACATAATGCACTAACCGTAACTAGAATGAAACTGAAATTAATTAATCATGGCAACTTATATTTATTTTCAATGCGTAATCTTAACATCTTGGTTGAACAAATGGTTGACTTCATTTCTTGATTTGAAATTGTTACCGTCTTATATTTAGTGTGCCCTCTGTTTTTGATAACTTAGACTTACTATTTTTTACCCACGCTGCACTACAGACAAAATGTTATACAAGACCTGCCTTTGTAAAAACTTTCTTTCAGATGGGCCCGTGGCACGACTCTGATGTTACGGACTACTATAAAAACATGTAATGTAATCATTCATTGAGACAATGTAATGCACGACTAGTGACACAAATACCAAAAAATTTCCAGGTGGTCTTTATAAACTTTTGCAAATGACTGTTGAAGAATCAAACATGCATACATCCAAGATACAACATCTTGTCCAGAGTACACTCTCCTTGCAGAGTGCACATAGGTTTTAAAAACTGATGACCATTTCACCTCAAAATATGTACATAATGGAGGGATCTTTGTAAAGTCAATGTGGATTGTGTTTATCTTGTATTCATCCCATATGTATGTGTTAGTCCCCTTTGACCTGATGTGAATGCGACATCATTAACTTGTGGAACGTATTTTTTAAACTTTCACTGTAAATGTTGAACAAATGGTACAAGTGTTGCATTTTTGTCTTAGTGTTACGTGATAAAGATTGAGCCTTTTCTCATAGCATTGTTGTTAGAGGAGTTGTATGTACATTTTGTTGATCATTCCCTCTTCTTAGATGTTTCAGTTTTCTTGTTAGTGCTGTGATTGGAGTACGCTTTCATAATTCCTGTTCTTACATCAGAGCTTTATTGCTTGTTTCCTCGTTACTTTTTGTTCTGTTGTTTTGATATGTGATCATTTCCAAGTGATTCAACATCTATCAAAGTTGTTTCTATGGAGTATTTATTTTCATGCAAATGAAAACGTGCTGCAGATACTAGATATTCAGTGCCTGGAGTTGTTCTGTTGTTTTTGTCCTGGATGGACTCTTTCTTTGGTTGGGAATGGCTGAGCTATTTCTCCTATGGCCAGCTTTAATTGATTGTCTTGTCTTGGAAAGTGTGTGACTTGTGTGCTGTTGTCCAACACAATTGTTGCTTCAACCTACAGGTATTCCAACAGGTTTCTGTGGGATTTGCTAATTCCTGCATCACTTACAACTCGTTTCCTGTAATTATCCAGACCTAGTCGATAGTCTCCAAGTCTTTATGTTTTACGATTTGTTTCTGTCCCATGGCATGATGAAACCAGTCATGTTAGGGGCGTCTGTGTAAGAGTAAGACTGGGTTGGGCGTGTCCTTTTATTTTTGGTTTTGGAGGATGGGGTGGCAAGTTGTAAGATCATTTCGTCCTGTCTGAGGTTTGCATTCAGCATAAACAGTGCCAAAAAAGGGATAAGGAAAACAATAGCGCCCAGTGTCAGTCTTGGTAACCACCTCTGATAGCTATGAAGTGGGTGTGTCTGTACATGCCATCATGTCCATACCTATTTCACCTACATGACAGAAATTTTTCTCGGATCTGGGTCAGTTTAAACGTTATGATTTTTAATCCCAATAGGATTATGACCACCATTTGGCAAAATGTCTTACCACCATTTGGCAAAATGTCTTACCGCTATTTGGCAAAATGTTTTACCGCTATTTGGCAAAATGTCTTACCGCCATTTGGCAAAATGTCTTACCACCATTTGACAAAATGTCTGCAGTTCAAGGACTTGAAGACTGCAGTATCTCCAACCTGCATTTATCCAAGATGAATGTCAGGAGATAGTCTCTGTGCAGTAGTTAATAAGTTCATACCATGAGCACTGCCACGCTCAGAGTTTGTCTGTATGTTTGACTGTATCTTTTGTATGTTTTGATACACTGCCTTCTGGATTCACTGGTAGTTTGCCAATGTGAGTGTAAACGGAGGTGAGCATACATGTACACCATCCAGATCAATTTTCTCCCAGATTTTCACAGAGTTACAGGAACCCTGGGACAGGCATGCGGAGGCAAACCAGACGTTGGGTGACCCCCCCCATGCAGATTGTTATTGCATGGAGCCATGTGTCATTGGGGAATTCATTGCTTTTGGGCAAAAAGCAGGCCCTGACGAAATTCTGGTTTTTTTTTAGCTTGCCCGATCGGGCAGGCCATGCCATAAATTTGCTTGCCCAAATTAGATCAACACTTGCCCAATGATTATTATGGTTAACTTAGGCCTACATATAACTGCATGCATGCAGTCTTTAATTAACATTAATTCAAAAATACTGCCACTTTTGCGAGTAAACAGAGCAAGCTAAAATAAAATCTGTCACAGGCCGAAAAATACATTGTGTAGTGAATTAAAAGTGAATAAAAGATAGGGGCCTATTGTATCAAACTCACAATGAGTCAGTCACTTAGTGTTTATGAAATGTCCATATACGTGTCTTGTCCCTTTGCCGCTGTTCCATCCCGTACATGTAACCCCTTAAAAAAGAAGGAGATGCACATCTTTTTCAGCAAGCGTACATGCAACCGACAGAACAGCGGCGATGAATGCACATGGTTCAACAACCAGTGCCTGAGGTGGGAATATTTTTGGTGTGTAAGAATTTTCCTATAATCAACTTGGATAAGGAATTTGACATTGCAGTATTATGAGGTTAATAATACTTTTATGCACTGTAGGATGAAGATTTTGTCGATTGCTAAATGTAGACCACAAAAATTAGATTTACTGCAAACTTTTTTTGACATCCAAATAATTACGATCCCACGAATGATTGACATGACATGACAACCCCAATACTCAATCTGTTAAATAAGCCTAATTCTGATAGGTTTACAAAATTTCTTAAAAATGAAAAGCAGTACTCTCAGCCTATAGCGACGCTGTTTCAGAACATGTGCGTTGGAAACCCTGATCAGCTGAGAGAAAATGGTGTTTGTTTATATCAACATCATCAATGACAGCTGCACTGATTGGAATGTCATACACATGCATGGGGCAGTGTGGGGTGAAGCTGGCACGACTGAAACACGACTGGAATATTTTTATTTTTTATCATACTGGAATTATAATTGATATTCAAAGTTAAGGTGACAGCTAGTCAGAATTAGATTAATTGCCCAAATGAAAATGTGATTGCTCCAGGCTATCAGACAGGCAGTTCGTTGCAGCCTGGCCAAAAGTCTAGTACCTAAGCATGCCATGAAACAGGGTTCCGTCATTCCAGGGTTCCATTCTTTTGTACAACACCTGAATAAATCCCTATCATATGATCTGTGAATTGCCGATCACAACGTGAGACATTTGCATCAATACATAGCGTGTACCAACCACAAAAAGTGCAAAATAGTGGAACTGTGCTGGAGCTTATTTGAGTGTGCAGTTGTCATTTAGCTGGTGTTGTAATGCAGTTCTTCACCCAAAACCTCAGAAATTTCTGAGCTCATAAGTGATGCTGATGTTTTTAATATAAGAAACAAATCAACAACATCTGTTGACGCCTGAACTGTTTTGAAATGCGACAATTTTATGTCAAGATTCTATGGTGGACCAAGAAAGAAAAAAAAGACTTGTACACAAAGGGTATTTATTCAGGCATTGTGTGGAAAACATGAGTACATTGTGCAGTGAAAAGAATAGTTACATGTACACACAGTGACAGGTGGAATTGTTCTTTTTCCATTGTACACTTAAACGTTTTTATTTGTACATCTGTGACAATGTATGCTGTATCGCAGTATAGAGCTGAAATCATTGTTGTGGTCAGCATTATTTCTATTGATTTCTGCTTCCATACAAGCTCACTACCTCCAGTGGGAAATGAATCAAGCTTGTGAGATAGTTGCTATGGTTATTAAGTTTGGGTGGTTTTTCTTTTCTGAATACATGTCCAACCCTCAATAGGCTATTTTTATTTTGTCATAAAGCCTGATCTTGGCCGTGCAATGAGAGATTGAATGATTTCCCTGCTTTGTATATCTTCAAAAATTTAACTCAGTCAGACAAAGCAGTTCCTTTTGCCATCTGTGATCTTTGTCTTAAGAGTTTTGTGCACAGCCAGTTGAAAATATTTACCATACCATAAAAAAAATGAAACACAATTTAAGAAAGGTATTTCTAGAAAATGATGCATTCATATTTAGTGGACTTCATGTCAAAGTATTAGCCCTCAAAGTCATATAGGATCAGTTTGGAAAAAGTGCGGCCGCGATATGAAAAAAAATCTGTCGTCAGAGGTTTAAAACGTTGGCATGCAGCAAGTGGCATCGTATACGTGTACACATTTGCATTGTGTTCGACCATA